AGGGACTGGAGCAGGAGCCCCATCCCCTCATCACCTCCTGACCCCCTCATCACCTCCCGACCCTCTCACCACCTCCTCAGGGCTGGGAAAGCCGGGAAGTGAGGGCAGCCCGGCCCGGCTGTGGGGCCCCTCCTGCACAGCCACCCAGCTGAGCGTGAAATGAGCTGAAAAGGGACGGTGTAATGTTCCCGGGGCTGGAGGCCGTTTGTCCCCTACGGTGGCCGCAGTCCCCACCACGGCTGCAGAGCCGGATCTGCCGTCCCATCCCTCTTTGCTTTCACCGCTTTCAGGGCAGGTGGCCCCATCCAGCTCTGCATCGCTGGCCCTGTTGGGTCCCTGTGCCCCCCAGGACCGCGGCCCCCGGTGCTGCCCTCGGAGCGGTGACCACAGCCGGGTGCAGGATGTGGACCCGGGCAGTGCCAGCCTGTGTCTGGGGGCTGCTTGGGCTCTCCCAGCCAAGGAGAGGAGGAAGGCAGAGAAGCCAAAAGCTGATCTTGCACTCTACGAAAACCTGGACTTGGACAACTACGACCTGTCATTGGACAACTATGGCGAGATCCTTGACCTGAGCAACTATGAGGAGCTCTACGACTACGGTGACCTTGCTCCAAAGGTGAGGGGGATGCAGGAGAGCACTTGGCGCGCGGCGCAGGTCTTCCCTGGGTGCATCCTGAGAAAGGGGCTCGGTCCGCGGGACGGATGGGGCACAGCTGGAGAACCAGCCTCTTGCGCAAGCCTGCGAGCCTTGGTGGCTCTTCCACTGCTCTTGCTGGTGGTAGGAAAGGCTTTACCCGACCCGGACCTTCGCCAGTGTCCTTGTCCCCAGAGCATTGCCTGCAGGAAGCCAGGACACGAGGCCTCCTACATCGCTCTGGGCAAACAGGGATGGGTGTTCCTGAAGCTCTGAGATAGAAGAGCTCTTCAGGAAGGAGATGACATTCCGATAAGACCTTCCCAGTGCCCCTGACCCCTTCACCAGTGCCTCCTGCCCTGGATGGGAGCGGGAGGACTCGCTCGGCCACCCCAGCCCTTACGCCCAGGCTGTGTTCGCAGATTGAGGTTGGCACCCTGGCTCCCCGCCCCAAGGAC